CTCTCTCTCTCTCTCTCTTGCATGTTCTTCTTCCATGGCCACTCCTTCCTTCTTCTCCCTCCTGCTCCTTCTAGGCCCACCAAAACTCAACCCCATCTAACTCTTTTCTGCCAGCTACTGGCTGCTGGGATCTTTATTCACCAATCAGAATTAACTTGGAGGCAGAGTCCCAGAGGTTACATGTAGATTCCCAGGTTTTAGGGTCCCCACATAGCATTACAATAGACAGTAAAAGAAAACTCAACATTTACATATATGTATATGCATATATGTGAGTGCTTGTACATATATGTGCATGTATGTGTATTTGTATGTGTACGACTGTATATATGTATTTGTATATTTGTGTATATATAAATGTGTGTGTGTTTGTGTGCATGTATAATATATGCATATTATCTTAATTAGGAGTTTATTGCTGTGATGAAACACCATGCCTACGGAAACTTTTATGAAGTAAAATGCTTAATTGGGGGTTCCTTACAGTCCAGAGGTTGATTAGTCTGTTATAGCTGTGGTGAGAAGCAGGGTGGTACACAGGCAGACATGGTGCTAGAGAGTTAGCTGAGAGTTCTACATCGTGACACACAGCAGCAGAAAGAACTAGTGAGCCACCAGGCCTGATTTGAGCTTCTGAAAACCCAAAGCCTGCCACCACATGTGGTTTGGATATAAAAAATATTTAAACATAAAAATAAAATAACTTGAATGTAAAAATAAAATAAAAATATTTGAATACAAACAATACACATAAACACTTTCTGCCACTTACTACTCTCAGGTTGTTTTGAGACATGAAACCTGGTTCATTCATTTTAATTGCTGTTAGGATTTCAGCCTGGCAGTTGAGCAACAGATAATTTATTTCCCTGGAAAATTCAGTTACCTTCAATTTTTTACTGTTAGAAGCTGTTCAATGAGGCAGCTCCTCTGTAGGCAGATCCCATGGGGAGTGATAGATAAGTGAATGACGGGACACAGAGGACACACACACATACCACAGTCTGGAACTGGGAGCATTGTAGCTCTTGAAAGTGTGACTGCTGGGAGTTCAGAGTAGTCATGAGGAAGAAAATGGACAGAGAGGTAGCCCCCAGGTTGGAAGAACCCTAAGCCACAAAGTAGAGGCTTGGCTTCTGTCTGCGGTGGATAGGATGCACTTAGAGCGGTTGAGAATGAGGAAAACAGCATTTTTCTTCAGAGATGTAGTGTTCAAGAAGTTCTGGAGAGAACAGGCTAGAGACCAAGAGATAATCATTGGCCTCTGATGCAGTTAAGCAGAGTAGGTGTCGCTTGACCTGTCCATCACCCTTGGGGAGAAGTGGAGGGTATGGAAGAGCTTAGTGCGCACATACAGGACAAACAGTATGGAGGAAACAGGAGGAGGCATGCTCCCCAACCTCACCTTTGAAACAGAAGTAAAGGAACCATTATGAAGTGGGATGTTCTGCAGAGGTCTGAGAGGGAGGGAGAATAGATGTTTTTGTTTACTGTGTGGTCAACTACAGTGAATTCTAGAAATGTTTATTCACAGGGCATCTGGCCTTGATACCACAATATAACCAGCTATAGGAGATGGAAACTTTAGGGCTCAGTTGCCATAGGCCCTTGGGGATAAGGATGCTCGCCCCCTACTGGTTCACAACTGAAATTGTTTTTCATGTTAAAATTTTGTACTACCATAAGCACCATGGGTGAGTGCTTGGGAAATGCAGAGACCTGGCAGGAGTCACTAAACTCTGATTTGGGATCCTGGATCTATCAGTCCCCAGCATTCTGACCGTGGAGAAAAATGTTTAATCTGTATGTGTCTTGGTTTCCTCATCTTTAAAATGAGTCTTTATTTCATGAATGGGAAGAGGCTATAAAAAGTAAAATAAGTGGTTCACAGGAAATGTGTAGTAGCTGTTCTTGGTGTGTTGTTAAGATATGAACATGAGTGCCCAATCCTGCCCCCAGCACCCAATTTAAAATTCCAAAAACAACCAATGGGGGGAGCCTCTTTCCTCTTCTTTTCATCCTCTCACGCTTTTTACAAGTTCCACCTTTTTACAGTATTCAACCATGTGATTATAGTCTCTTGCTGTCTCTCTCTGTCTCTCCTTCTGACAAGGGTTCTCCCCACAGAGGCAGGCCTTTGCTTACTCTGTTTGTTGATTCAGACATCTTGAGGACCTGTCCAGGGACTGGTAGATGTTCCTTGCCTGGGTAAATGACTGTTGGGCCTCTTGAGAATCCAGTAAAAGTCAGCAGTATCTTCTTCCCTGAAATGAGAACAGTAGATCCATTCAGAGCTTTTTCTGAAACCTCCGGGCCCTCTGGTCCCCTACGCACTGACAATGTGGAATAGAGATCTCACAGTCTTTCAGATGAGTGTGTGGTTAATGGAACCTGCAAGGCAGGATGGTGTCTGTAGCAGCGGTCCATGTCTAAGCATTTGTGGCCCACACATGAACTAAACAAGGATGACACCAACGAACATGCCAGGCTGGAATGGGAAAAGACCATGAGGTTTCAACTCCACACAGAGAACTACAGACAGCTGAGTAAAGATGGGAGCACAAGAGGTGGTTCTCCCCAGGGAAGAGGTGGTCCTCCCCAGGGAAGAGGTGGTCCTCCCCAGGGAAGAGCATAGCAACAGATTATCCAGTACCAAACCATCAACCCTGAAAACAATATGTACAAAAAATAGTATATAGACTCAGCAGGTTATAATTAGGACTATATAGTTGTATGCATATGTATGCACATGTATGCGTGCAATAACAATGAGTGAGAAAAGAGGCCATGAATTTGAAACAGAGTGGAAAATTGTATTTAAGAGGGAAGGTTTGGAGGAAGGAAAGAGAGGGGAGAAATATTATAATTATAGCCTCAAATATATATATACATTTAGAGAAAGCATCTGTGGCACAGTAGGTGTTGGATTTATATAAGGTGCTTAAGTTTGGTTTATCTACAGGTTACATTTAATTAATGGCCATTGGACAGGGCCTAGGGAGAGAGCTCAGCTAGTAAAGTGCTTGAGGTACCAACCTGGGAATGTGTGTTTAGCTCCTTAGCACCCACAGAAATACCAGGTAGGCACAGCAGCATGCTTGTAATTCTAGAGCTGGTGTGGCGGTGACAGGGGGTCCTGGGAACAAGCTGAATAGCTAGGCTGTGCTTTCATGTTGAGACCTTCCTCAGTACATAAGGTAGCACGATCAAGAAAGAAACTCAGCAAGCTCTGGCTTCTACATGTGAGGCATATATACACCTACACACATCAGTGTCTATACTCATGCAAACGTGAATACACACACACTGCACGTGCACACATGAAAGTGTCAGTGGGCTGTCTTTTAAAGATGGAGCTCAATGCAATGCCCTGTGCATATTTGGTCATAGTTACCTTTTATGTTACATTTCTGGTTATATGAAGCAAGTTATAGCCCTATATAAATCACTGCTGCTAGTCATAGTTCACTAAAAGCCATTTCCTTCTATCCCAAGTTATAAAGAAACCAGAAGTCCTTTAGTTTGCTGACCCATGTAATGGGCTTTTAGGAGCAAAGGTGTAAGACAGTCGGTCCTCCAGAATGGCAGAGGCATGGGGGAGTGGTATTTAGGACCAGGACTATTGCAAATGTTTTTTCTTTCTAGATTCCCCTCGGCGGCTCTGGTGGTACCACTGGATTTGCTGGCTCCTCAGCGTTGTTGGAATCTTCTGTATTCTCTTAGCGCATGACCACTACACTGTGGATGTGGTGGTGGCATACTACATCACCACAAGACTCTTCTGGTGGTATCACACGATGGCCAATCAGCAAGTGAGTCACCCCCTTCCCTTTGATCTTAACTTCTCTTGCCCCAGGCTTGGTGCTGCTGGCTTAGGCTGGAGTAGAGATATTGGAGAGACTGGGAATCTATGGATCTTTTCCACAGTTTCTCTTTCTTAGGAGTAGCCACCTGAGGTGGTACTGGCTTCTATAACACCATTCATCTGCAGAGCCGGTGTGTAAAGTGTTAATGTAATTGACCCAGATACTGATTTCTTCTGAAACATAAATGCTCACTGACTGTCTGTGAAAAAATAATCTCTAAGGCAGTGTCTGCACCTAAGGTGAATTCCTAACCTTCTTTGGTTATTTATGATGTGCCCATCACAAGTTTCATAGTTATAGTTAAGTTATTAAATATATTTTATTTGTTTATTATATTATTTGCATGTTATATTATTAGAAAGTTTATAGATATATATATATCATATAGGAGCACAGGAAGTTAAGGTCCAAGGAGAGTGAGGAAAGTGCTGACTGAGATATCTAATAGGCATGAGTGAGTGTCAGGTTCTCTTGCTCTGCTGGAATCTGATGTGTCCAGGGAATAGTGTGGTGAACTCAGAGTGAAGGAGGGCTGTGTGGGTGGGCGGGAGGCAAGTCCGGGACCCTTTGAATTTTAACATGGGGAGTATTTTAAAAGAAAGACAGTAAGATTAAACAAGAACAAACAAACAAGAACAAACAAACAAACATGTATGTTCTTTGCTTTCCTAGGTGCTAAAGGAAGCTTCCCAGATGAACCTCCTGGCCAGGGTGTGGTGGTACAGGCCATTTCAGTACTTTGAAAAGAATGTCCAAGGAATTGTACCTCGATCTTACCATTGGCCCTTCCCCTGGCCAGTAGTCCACATTAGTAGGCAAGTTAAATATAGCCGGCTGGTAAACGACACATAACAGCTCTGACGACTAAGGGAATGAAGAACAGTCCGAAGTGCTCAGAACTCCATGAGAGAAGATGCCATAATGTAACCGCCTCCCCTGCTATCTCTCAACAGTTACCTGACTTAACCTATTGAGTTACCTGCTCAGCACTGTGATCTTTTCTTTTCTCTCCAAAGGACCCGCGTTGGACAACAATAAAGAAAATTTACCATATCATGCACTGTACACATTTCCTGTTGTTAAGCTTGGGGCTTCTATAACGGGCGGCCACCACGTCCCTCTGTGTCATTCAGCCGCACCACCATGCGCTTGTATATCCTAAGCTCTGGCCTTTCCAGCCACATCTGGAAATAAAGTGTGTTATTTTCTTGGGAAAACATACTTTTCATATCTCTTGCCCCAAAGACAGGGCTGTAAGCCATTTTCTAGTAAATGTCTCTATGAAAGGGTCCTAAGGGTCTGGATGGGCGTCGATTCAGAATCTCTCTGCCCATTGCACTGATGCTCAGCTGAAGAAGCTAGGTGCAGAGAGGATTGGTCACCTGGGGTTTTATACAGTCAGCAGAGACGGTGTATCAAAAAGTGCAAAAAAAAATTCTGTTATAAAGTGATTTTTCTAAGTATTTCCTAACTTTATTTTTCAAAATGATGTTATGAAAACCAAATTTAAAGATTTTTACATGTCACAGAAAAGAGAGTTAACATTTAAAAATGCTTCTTGGGAGAGAAATTTGTCTATGTTTCTAGTGCCTTTCTTGTCTTGATTGTATGGTCGGTTGGTAGGCGATCTTAAATGTTTTTATTTATTCCATAAAAATATAAATGTATGTATACACTACTAAATTTTGCATTTATAGCTAAATTAAATCAAAAGACTGCTAATGGGTTTTAAAATTGTTTTGAACTGAAGAGTAGGGGTGTGAATTAGAGTACACACCCATTCACATATTGTGAGCAGGTAGCACTGACAAGTGCCACTGAGATTATGCCATCGGTTTGGTAGTTCGGTTTTAACTACTCAACAAAAACAGCCATGAATATCTTTTTTTAAAGAGAGTTTCGAAAATGATCACTTACCTAAAACTTGAAAGCTATAAATTAGTTATCCATACTCTCATGACAGTTTTGTTGGTGAACAATAACAACAAAAAGAGATCTATTTCTTTAAAATATATTTGTGCAGAAACTGCATGTTACTCTGAGTTTTACTCCTGACATACATATATGTTTGGGGAAGTATTCTACTCTATACTTGCCAACGTGGAGAACAAAATAGTTTTCTAAGAGCGAAGAAGTATATATATATAAATAAATATAAATATAATATCCATTCTGTATTTTATGTGCAGCAGGATTACCTTCTGTAGGTTTTTTTGTGTGTGTGCGCACGTGCACGAGTGTGTGCGTGTGCATGTATGAGTGTGTGTGTGTATGTGTGTATGTGTGTGTACTCACAAGGTGATATTTGTATTGTAAAACAATAATGGTGAAGGAAATAAAGGCTTTTAAATTTTTGTTTGTTTTAAATCTTTGTAAAGTTATTATTCCAGAGAGTATACTGATATCTTACAACTTACCTAAATCATAAATTAATCAAAATGCACTTTTTAATAAAAACTTATACTGAAAGTATGTGGCTATTATATTGTGTTCATCTTCACAGAAATCAGGAAGCTGTTAACTCAATATAGGAAACCAAACCTCCAGATTTCTTCAGGGCTTGTTTGGCCCAAATCTTTATTATTCATCTAACTCTCCTTGCAGGACTTTTAAAATGTATTTTAGGCCGGGCGGTGGTGGCGCACGCCTTTAATCCCAGCACTTGGGAGGCAGAGGCAGGCGGATTTCTGAGTTCGAGGCCAGCCTGGTCTACAGAGTGAGTTCCAGGACAGCCACAACTATACAGAGAAACCCTGTCTCGAAAAACAAACAAAAAAAATAAAATAAAATAAAATGTATTTTAATTATCAAAAACCCTACAGGTTTTTGTCTTCCAGTATGTAAAAGGAGCCATAGATATAACTGAAAACCAAGCTGTTACCACTGTTTGCCAGTAACTGAATTCTCCAGTTCTCAACCAAATCACTCACTTTTTCTCTGTAATGGAAACAATGTAGCCTTTGCAATGTACTGGTGGGGAGGATCTGAGAGGCGCTGCAGTGCAGCCATAGGGACAGTTCGTGGCTCGGCAAACTTCACAAAGATGGTACTAATCCGTGATTTAAAGCAAGGAACAGCTTAATAGAAGAGGCCTGTCTTTGTCGAAGGGTAGCCCCAGAGAGGCAGGAGTAAAGCCAATAGAACCTGACAGCAGGGAGTTTGCAGACTGTGCCTCCCAGGCCTGTGCGATGAAGTCTTATAGCAGACCTATCAAATTGCCCCTCCTTGCTCATCCTCAGCTCTCATGGGGTTGACTTCCCTTGTGCATTAGCCAGATGCTGCATACTGAAAGGAAGCAGGTTGGATATCGATGTGAATTACTAACACATGTTAGAAACAGGCTCCCCCCCGCCCCCCCCCAAGAAATCTGAAGAAGGGTTTTTTGTTATGGTAGAGCAATGGTTCTTAATGCTTCAACCCTTGTAGTTCCTCATGCTGTGGTGACCCCAACCAGAAAATTACTTTGTTGCTACTTCATGACTGTAATTTTGCTACTGTTATGAATCATAATGTCAATATCTGATATACAGGATGTCTGCACAGGTTAAGAACTGTTGTGGTCGAAGGTTGAACCAGGGCCTTAGAAATAATATACTGTTAGCTGTGTCCCTGCCCTACCTGTCTACATTTATAAGACCAGAGTTTTTTGTAACCTAGGTTGGTCTTGAACTCCTAATCCATCTTCCCCCAATTTCCAAGCACTGGCATTATAGATACACACCACCATAGCCAGCTTCCTTCCTTGGTCTCTCTTGTCATTTTCATTTTGCTATAGGGGCTGAAGTTGCCCATGCTGGCCTTGAGTTAACTATATCACATAGGGGCTTCAAGCATGTAAGACACTTCTGCCCCAGCCTCCAGAATAACAGAAAGGAGTGTGCTATTATGCCTGGCCGAAACTAAAAGTGATTATGTTAAAAATGCATACGTAGGAGTTTATTTGCCATGTATGTACCAGGAAATTACCTTGTGTAATTTATCTAAGTATATATTCCCCCAGACACTTCTATTTATTCCTCCAGACATTTCTTTCATTTTACACACATACATGATTCTATATGACTAGAAAATCTAAAAACACAAGAGACAACACGTGTTACTTGTCATCTTTAAACAGGCTTAATTTGTGGCTACTCGCTGCAGATCCCACAAAGGGCAAAGGGCAATGCTCCTGTATCCTGAAGGTTGCAGTACAGAGTAAAGACTGGATAACCACCTGCAGTTTCTGGCCTGTTTGATGAGCCGAATCCCTAGAAAACTGCTACTTTTTTACTCGAGTTAAGCATGATACATGTGTTATCGTGGTAACCAACATATAACCACAACTGTCCCCATGTTATGTGTAAACCAATCAGAGTGACTAAGACCAGAGGCACAATAAGAGGAGCCCCAAGTCTCCTCCCATCCCAGGCAGTGGCCTGAACTATTATTGAACATAATCAATCAGCAGTGGGAGAAACCTCTGCCTATGGGGAAAAGATTAAGTTCAATCGATGACTGCTGATATGGCACAGGGGAATTTCACCAGTTTCCTAGAAATCATGTGTTTGATTTCTGTCTGAAGCACATACTAGGTTTGATCAGTTTGGTGTTTCATAAGCTTGCTTAGTACCACATAAAATGAGAATATATGCTACTGAAATTTGACCCCCATTGTAGAGAAAGTCTACTATGATTTGAATTTACTCCAGATTAGTATGCTATGCAAATCACTTAAAAACCTTTATCTTTTCCCTGTGGTCAGGGACCTTGCTTGAAAGAAAGTAAAACTCTTGCTATTCTGCTTATTGTCAACTCTGAATTCAGAGTACAGATTAGAATTTATGTGACCCTTTAAATCAAAGAAATTTAATCTCAGTAAACTAGTTATGCCTCCCTTAAAAAACATATTTTGTCAGGCATGATAATATGCACTTGTAGTTCCAGATATCTGCTCTTGAGGTTGAGGCAGGAGGATTATTTCATATCTCAAAATTCCTTGGTTGTGTTACTGAGAGTCGCTTCACTTACCCAGTGGTCACAACCACTCAAGATCGTTACCAGTATTCCCTTAAGCAAGCAGTTATCTTTTAGCTCAATTAAGAATTAAGAAGTAGAAAATTAAGAATCAGAAAAACCAAAGACTGTGTTCATCATTATGTACTGGTGTGCTTTATGAAGATATAAGGTTTTTGTGTTTTGGGGTTTTTGTTTTTGTTTGTTTGTTTGTTTTATTTTGTGTTTTGTTTGGTTGGTTTGGCTTTTGGTTTTTCAAAACAGAGTTTATGTAGCCCTGGCTGTCCTGGAATTGGAGACCAGGCTAGACTTCTGAACTCAAGAGATCCACCTACCTCTGCTTTCTGAGTGCTGGGATTAAAGGTGTGTGCAGCCATGCCTGGCTGGTTTCTGAGCTCCATTTTCACTTAGCTTGAAGATCAGATTAGCTGCTGGTGAACTCCTGTAGCATTGGCTTGGAGTGTGTTTATTCTCCCTTTACCTTCAAAGGATACCTCGCTGATATGGAATCCTAAGTTGCATGGTGTTGACGTTTTATAGCCTACATTTTGTTTACTGGCTTCTCAAAAGAGGTCTGCTATCATCTAATCCTTATTTCTCTGTCAGTAGTTGAGTCTTTCCACTAGATCTTTAAAAATTGTCTTTGCTGTCTGTAGTTTGAATAGGATGGTGCCTAAGTGATGTGTTGAATGAACCTTCTGGAGTTCAACAAGGTTTTTTAAGAAAGTCCCTTTTTTTTTTCTCCTCCTTTTGTATTTCACATAAATATAAAGCTTACTTAGTCTTCAGCAATGTCTGTCCCATTAATGAGCACATCACAGACATTCTTTGTTTCTGTTACAAGACTCCTGATTTCTAGCATTTCCTGTGACCCTTAAGTTTCCCATCCTTCTGCTTACAGGACTCCTTTCTCTCTTCCTTGACTGACTTTATCCAGTTGTGTCCTCCATAGACTTAAAGTTCTCTAGATATTCCTGTGTGTATTCCTGTGTGTGTTCCTATGTGTATTCCTGTGTGTATTCCTGTATGTATTCCTGTGTATGTTCCTCTGTGTGTGTGTGTTTCTTCAATCTCATTCTTTCAAAAATATTATTCTTTTATGTATACTAATGTTTTTGCCTGAATGTATGTACGTGCACATGACTGCCTGAATCCCTTGGAGGTCACAAGAGGGCATCAGATCCCCTGTAACCAGAGTTGTAGATGGTTGCTAACCAACATGCGAGTGCCAGAAACTGAACCCAGGATCTTTATAAGATCAACAAGTACTCTTAATTACAAAACCATCTCCCCAGCTCTTGAATCTCACTCTCGGTCTTGATTTGTGTGTTCTGTCTTCAGGGTATCCATGCCTTTTAGCAAACTTTGTAAATTTTTTTTTGCTGATAGACATATTAGGCTGGAAAATAGGAATTTAGTTTTAATATGTTCATTCATCAGTATTCTAATTAAGGTTTGCAACTATAGATGCCAGAGGGTCTGTAGTTCTTTGATATACTACTATTTTGGATGTCAGTCTTGACTGGGACTTCCTCAGTCTCATAATGGGCATGGGTTGTGTTTCCAAGCTTGAACTTCTCAAGTAACTATTAAACGCTCTCCTCTACCACTTGCTCCTTGTTGAGTGTTTTGTCTCCTTAAGTCAGATGGGAAGGCTAGAAGTAACTGGCATAGGATGAAGGGCCCCCAAGCATTTCTTATTCCAACACTGGTTTCTGTTCCACCTCCAGCAGTTCTGGGTCATTGTTCCATATTAAAACTGCTGTGGTACCAGCTTCTTCTGCTTCATGAAGGCAGAAATTGGTCATTATTCGAGATGCAACTACACACACACACACACACACACACACACACACACACATATATATATGGAGAGAGAGAGTTTAAGAATTCTGTATACATACACACACACACACACACACACATACACTCACACGTATATTTATATATGGCTGAGAGGTTTTTTTGTAGTATTCAGCATTCATACCCTGCAGGAGAATGCAAATTAAAATTAGTTTGAGATTTCATCTTACCCCAGTCAGAAGGTCTGAGATCAAAATAAGTAAATAAATGGCAACCTGCAGGCATGAGTATGGGGAAAGAGAACACTTATTCACTGTTGGTGGGAATGCAAACTTCTGCAGACACTATGGAAATCAGTGTGGCAGTTCCTATAAAAACTAGAAATGCATGTATGATCCAGCTAGACCACTCCTGGGCATATATCAAGAGACTCTGCGTAGATACCTGCTCATCCATGTTCCTTGCTGCTCTATTGACAAGAGCCAGGAAATGGAAACATCTTAGATGTCCATCAACAGATGAATGGACCATGAAAATATGGGACATATACACTCTGGAACTTTTTTTCAGCTGTAAAGAATGAAATTAGGAAAGTTCAGACAAACGGGTGGAGCTGGAAATGAATCATTATAAATGTAGTAAAATCAGACCCAGAAAGAAACTGCATATTC